TTGTTGTAGGATTTAGCCAAATCAGGATGATTTGGAGGAAGTGATTGCTGTCGAGTTCCAAGGGCTTTTTCATGAGATGACAGTGCTTTCGGATAATTACCCATGTTGTAATGTACATTACCAATGTTGTTGTACGATGTAGCCAAATCAGGATGACCGGAGGGAAGGGATTGTTCCCGAATCTCAAGAGCATTTTCATGAGATAAAAGTGCTTTTGTATAGCTACCCATGCTATTATGCAGATTACCAATGTTGTTGTAGGAAGCAGCCAAATCAGGATGATTTGGAGGAAGCGATCGTTGTTTGATTTCAAGGGCTTTCTCATGAGATGAAAGTGCTTTTGCATAATTACCCATACTGCTATGCACATTACCAATATTGTTGTAGGATTTAGCCAAATCAGGATGATTTGGAGGAAGTGATTGTTGTCGAGTTTCAAGGGCTTTCTCATGAGATGAGAGTGCTTTCGTATAATCACCTATGCTGTAATGTATATTACCAATGTTGTTGTACGAAGCAGCCAAATCTAGATAATTGGAAGGAAGTAACTGTTGTCGAATTTTAAGAGCTTTTTCATAATAAGAGAGTGCTTCAGGATTATTACCCATCTTTTCATGCACACTACCAATGTTGTTGTAGGAAGCAGCTAAATCAGGATGATTGGAACGAAGTGATTGTTGGCTGATTTCAAGGGCTTTTCCATAGTAAAAAAGTGCTTTTAGATAATTATGCATGTTGGAATGCACATTACCGATGTTGTTGTAAGACATAGCCAAATCAGGATGATTGAAAGGAAGTGGTTGTTGCCGAGTTTCGAGGGCTTTTTCATGAGATGAAAGTGCTTTTGGATAATTAGCGATGTTTCTATGCACCAAACCAATGCTGTTGTAGGAAGCAGCCAAACCAGGATAATTTGGGAGAAGTGATGGTAGTCTGATTTCAAGCGCTTTTTCATAAGATGAAAATGCTTTCAGATAGTTATGCATGTTGGAATGCACATTACCGATGTTGTCGTAAGACATAGCCAAATCAGAATGACTGGGAGGAAGTGATTGTTGTTTGATTTCAAGAGCTTTTTCATAATAGCAAAGTGCTTCTGAATTGCTACCCATACTGTCATGCACGCTGCCGATGCTGTTGTAGGAAGCAGCCAAATCAGGATGATTGGGAGGAAGTGATTGTTGTTTGATTTCAAGCGCTTTTTCGTGAAATGAAAGTGCTTCGGTATAATTACCCATCTTTTCATGCGCTTCCCCCATGTTACTGTAGGAATAGACCATATCCGGATGATTGAGAGGAAGTGATTGTTGTCGAATTTTGAGAGCTTTCTCATAATAAGACAGTGCTTCTGGGTTATTACCCATCTTTTCTTGAACACTACCAATGTTGTTGTAGGACATAGCCAAATCAGGATGATTGGGAGGAAGTGATTGTTGTTTGATTTCAAGAGCTTTTTCATGAGATGAAAGTGCTTGCGTATAATTACCCATGTCGCCATGCACTAAACCAATGTTGTTGTAGGAAAGGGCTAAATCAGGATGATTAAAAGAATGTGATTGATGTTGAATTTCAACAACTTTTTCATAATAAGAAAGTGCTTTCGGATAATTATTCATGTTGGCATGCACATTACCAATGAAGATGTAGGACTTAGCATAATCAGGATGATTTGGAGGAAGTGATTGTTGTTTGATTTTAAAGGCTTTTTTATGAGATGAAAGTGCGGTCAGATGATTGCCCATGTGGTCATGCAGTAAACCAATGTGGTTGTACGAAGAAGCCAAATCAGGATGATTGAAAGGAAGAGTTTTTTGATAGATAGCAAGTGATTTTTCACAGAATGTAAGTGCCTCTGGATATTTACCTTGACTATATTTGATCAAACCAACTGTGTCATAAATACGTGCCGTATTTTGATCATCGTTTGTTTGATCAAGTAAAACTTGATAAATACCTTCAGCTTTGTCAAATTGACCCATTGTAATCAGTACCATACCCAGTCTATACCACCCTTCACTGTCTGGAAAGCTCTCTTTTCGAATGTAATCAGTAAGTCTGTTCAGTTCTGGATCATTGTCAGCAGTCAGTGTCAACTTAACTTCATAGAAACGACTATGGTCACGCATCTGTTTGATATCCCGTATACGAAAAACGCTATGCATCGAAAACAAGACTTCCTCTTCTTTTTGAAACTTGCTAATACCAGCAATGGAAGCAAATGGTGCTGTTGATAGAGCCGGATTAATTTTCATGATAAAAAGTACACCAACTTGATCTGGATTAATGGTAGCACGTTGAGCAAAACCCAGTGATATATTGCGATGTTTAGTAGTAGATAAGAAGTTATTGAATGAAATAAGACCGCTTTTAGTTTTCATCATTTGTTCAAAATCCCCTATAGAAAAACCTTGGCCACGATAAACGGTAAAGATGTTAGCAGCAGTTGTATCGCGATATTGTTCCCGATGCAGTTGTTCAATCTGTCGATGCAAATCACTAACGAAGAAACCCATACGTGTAATAGTATCACCATCCATCAATCGTAATGCGGAATTCAGCATGGGATACAAGAACATTTGACAGGTATACCAATAAATTGGTGTTTTATTATGATATTCACGTTCCAATCGTTTAATATTTGCGATTTCTTTTGTATTACCTATAAAAGCATCGGCGCAGTAATTAAGATAATCTTGGATGTGATTTTGATTGAATATGATGGTGAGTAATATTTCTTTGATGATTTGAGTATACATAAAAGAAGGATCTAACTGATCCAACTTTTTATTTGTTCCTACGAAACTCATGGGAATGGCATTTTGCTCACATTGATGAGCAGCTTCCTTGAGTGCTTCACAGATGGGTGTAATATCTGTGAAGACACCCTTTATTTTGGGCCAATCTTTAGTCCATTGCTCATAGTGTTTTTTATTGCTACAAAAGATAAATATTGAATCAACTTGAAACATATTATGCATACAAGGCACTGTATGAAGTCCAAGTGATCCAGATATGATGATACAAACCTTTTTGTCGACGATTGTTTCTATAAACTCAAAGCATCGATCAGCATCTGTAAATGTGCTGATATCATTTACAACACATCGCAGTTTCGAAATTGTATTTTGGCAATCGTCGTTGTTCTCATCAATGTTACTGTCTAACCAGATTAGAAGAACATTTTGCATCTGTTGGATATTGATACGTCGACGACCTTGTGCTTCTTTTGGAACTGTCGATGCATTTGCTGTTGATTTTTCTTCACTCATTGTTTGCTTGGTAAATAATTTGCATTGAAGTTACTATATAAAATTTACTACTGAAGTAAAGATCAAAAATGGTGCTTTTTATAGTTGTCTACTTCCTTTTGACTTGTTTTTTCTTTAACTGTATATAATGTTGTTATAAAAAACAGCACGTAGAGAACGAAAAAATAAGTGATGTAATATTGTCATGGTTGATTAATGATCGAAGTAACTTGGAAAAAACAAGTATTTCATTTACGTTGATGAAGAAAAAACGTGTTGAGTCATGTTTATTATTGAAGAATCGGAGGTGGAGAAAAAATATTTATAATGACAAATATATGAGCAACTATACAAGTTGATCACATATTTTCTGATCGTGAATTCAAAGACATATAATTTAAGAGGCCCTTAAAATAGGTGATATCGTTGTCATTCTTGTATTCGTTCGACTAAAAGCCTGTGTGTGACCATTATGTATGAAAAATGTAAATACTCTTGAGATTTTAATTAGTTTTAATGATATTGAAATTTATTTAGTTGCTTTCGTAAATAGTTTATTTCCTATATAATATGGAAATGTTCGATCTTGATATAATCATTATTAACTTTTAACAATACAAAATAGTAGGTATTATATGGCAAGATTTTTAACAACAACAACGGAATCAAACATAATTGTATATACAACATCCTAATTAGAATCTCAAGATTAGATGTGTGGGTGTGAGGAAAGAGTAAAATAGGATTCACACTCACCCACACCCACATAAATCACTGATTGTTATTTTTTCTTGGTATCGAATAAAAGACAATTAATGATTCCATCAGTCCAAACAATTCTAAGTTTTCACATAAACCAAACCGGACTCGAATCAATTATTTCTTCAAACGATTTACATAAAATGTTCCTATATTATTTACTATACGATCTATTTCTGCTACTTTTCCGGTCAGTGTGTAGAAAATTCAACTTTGTAGCTAACTCAAAAAAAAGGACAAATAAAAAGAACTCATAGCAGTATAAAGATCTATGACTCTATTAACATTTATTTGTATACATATTTGTTTTTAAAGCCAATATCATTTTATCGCAAACTCTAAATCTCCATCATATAAATAATTCTCATTTTTTTGTTGAGATTTCTCAGGGTTAAGCAGAAAGCTATAGCGCATGAGTATAGATGAAAAGAACAAGATGCTGTGAGTCATATCTATCTCTTTACACTCAATCACATGCTGCATCCTCAGTTGAGTGACATCTGAATAACGTCATCATCACTTCAAAAGAACATTCATCCAGTCCATACTGATCATATATTCTTATCGGACAAACAAGTCTTTAAAGTTGAATTCAATCATTTTAAGCAACTCATTTCCACTTAGATATTCAGTTATAAAATAATCAATGGTTAGATAGTTTATAAATATTTAAGCAATATATAGTTCAAATAAATTAACAAACAAACAGAAGTATAAACTAGTAGTATCATATTGTGAGATATTAGTTTATTCCATAACCGAACACTAATACATATAAAAAGAATGAAGACACATCACACAGACACCAAACACACAGAACAGAGCAGTATATATCCATCGCTACCAACGTCTTCTCTCATGCATACATGCATTCCAACACATTCTCTCTGACTCAGAACAAAAAAAAATGAAACAGAAGTAAAAAAACAAGTGAAAGGACACATATTAACATGTCTTCTTAAGAATATCTATATTACCATAACCATTATTAACGGCGATAATATCGGTCAGTTTATTTTTGTTGATATCACCAGTAGCGAGTGCAATCGGATGTGAACCAAAACCAGTAGAAAATATTAATTGATTCATAAAACTACCATTGCCATAACCTAAAAATACACCCATACTATTGGCACCGTAACTAGCTACGGCAATATCCAGTTGACCATCATTGTCGAAATCCACAATAGCTACTGCGCTTGGTTGAGAGCGAAGACCAGTAGAATAATTCATTGGATTCGAAAAGCTGCTTATATTATTACCAAGAAAGACAACAATATTATTGGTACCTGAATTAGTGACGACAATATCCAATCGACCATCTTTATTAAAATCTCCCACAGCTACTGATGATGGTTGAGAACCCACGCCAGTTGAATAGGTCATTTGACTGGTAAAAGTGCCATAACCTGATCCAAATAGTATCATCATATTATCCGCACCATTATTAGTGACAACGACATCCATTTGAGTATCATTGTTGAAATCTGCACGAGCAATGGAAGTCGGATGAGAAGAAGGTTTACTCAAATAAGATGGTGCATTTAAGAAACTATCACTAACATACCCAAAAAATACACCTATATTATTGCTGCCTGAATTGACAACGACAACATCCATTCGATTGTCGTTATTGAAATCGCCGACAGCAAGATAGTATGGCTCAGAATAATCGCCAGTCGAATAGGTCAATTGACTGAAAAAGGTACCATTGTTACATCCGAGAAGAACACCTAAATTGTTGTTGCCATAATTGGCAACGACGATATCCAGTTGAGCATCATTATTAATATCAACAATGGCGACTGCATATGGACCAGAACCACTACCTGTTGGAAGTGCTACCATATTGGAAAATATACCATTATTATTTCCGAAGAATATACCGACATTATCTGTTCCTGCATTAGCGACAACAATGTCTAGTCGACCATCCTTGTTTAAGTCATCGATAACGATCAATGATGGATGTGAATTAGGGCCAGTTGAATATATGATTGATTTAGAAAACGTACCATTACCAAATCCATAGAAAATACTAACATAGCCACTTGAAAAATAAGCCACAGCAATATCTAATCGACTATCATAGTTAAGATCAGCAGCAGCAACCGCTACTGGAGTTGAATCAGATTCAACTGAAAATGTGGTTACATTCGAGAAGGTACCATTCCTATATCCATAGAAAAAACCTATTTGGTTAGTGAACTCAAGGATGACAACAATATCTAATTGAGTATCATTGTCAAAATCACCAACAGCGACATATATCGGTCCAGAACCACTTCCAGTTTGATAATTTGTTTGATTCAAAAATGTACCATCACAACGTCCAAGAAAAACACTTATATCATCACTCCACAAATTGCAGACAACAAGATCCAAGCAAGTGTCTTTATTTAAATCAGTACTAATAATTGACCGTGAATTCGCTTGACTGCCAGTCGGGTATGTCGTTTGACTGGAAAAAGTGTTATTATCTAGCCCTATAAAGACACCTACATTACCGGCGCCAGCATTAACGACAGCAAAATCTAATCGACCATCTCTGTTAAAATCGCCTGGAGTCACAAATTGTGGAATGGAATTAATTCCGGTTGAATACGATATTTGGCTTCGAAATGCACCAGGATCATATCTCAAAAATATAAATATACTGTCAATACCAGTATTAGCGACGACAATATCAAGTTTCTTATCATTATTAAAATCACCAACGACGATCGATTGTGGAATAGTACCAGATCCAGTTGCAAATATTTCTACATCCGCAAAACTACCATTTCCATATCCATAAAGAATACCTATACTTTCTGTGGCAGAATTAGCGACAATAATATCTAGTTCAGTATCGTTATTCACATCAGCAATGACAACCGATGCTGGATAAGATAAATCACCGACTGAAAACATTGTTTGCAATGGAAATGTTCCATTTGTATGTCCTAAAAGTACTCCTACATTACCCAATCCATGATTAATGATAATTATATCTAATTGATCATCGTTATTAAAATCATCAATGGCAACACCTTGTGGATGCGGAGAAGATCCAGTTGAATATGGGTCTTCAGGTATGCCAGTTATGTAAGTAGTTCCAAGAAAAACACCAATTACATTAGTGCCATAATTTGCGACGACAATATCCATTACAGTATCATTATTAAAATCTCCAAGAGCGATGGAAGATGGACAAGCGTTTTTATCGGCGGAATAACTATTGCCATTAGAAAATTTTCCGTCACCAGTTCCGATAAAAATGACAACATTGTCAGTGTTACAATTACTAACAGCGATGTCCATTCGATTGTCATTATTCAAGTCTCCAATAGCAATCGTAATTGGATAAGATCCAGAACCAGTTGAATAGCTTGCTGTCTTGGCAAATGTTCCATTTCCATATCCGAGAAAAATAGCAATTGTGCGAGAATAGTACAGAGTAATGATTATATCTTGTTTACCGTCATTATTCAGATCACCAACAGCAGCACCATAAGATCTATCGATAATTCCAGTAGGATAGATAGTTTGAGTCGAAAAATTTCCATTGCCATACCCAAGAAAAATTCCTAAATTATCTCCGCCATAATTAATGACAGCAATATCCCATTGACTGTCATTGTTAAAATCACCAACAACGACATATCGTGGTAAAGAAAACGGACCGGTCGACATAGTTTGTTGACTTGAAAATGTGCCATCGTTATTTCCATAAAATATACCTAAATTGTTTGTTCCAGAATTAGCAACGACAATATCCAACCGTTTATCATTATTAAAATCAGCAATAGCAACAGCATACGGTTGAGAGCTATTGCCAGTTGAATAAGTTGTTTGACTTGAAAACGTCGCATTACCATATCCAAGAAATATACCTATATTGTTTGATCCAGAATTTGCAACGATTATATCTAACCATTTATCATCGTTGAAATGACCAACAGCAACTGAGTATGGATTAGATGAAGTTCCAGTTGTATAACTCGCGTAACTTGTAAATGTACCATTACCTAATCCCAGAAAAATATCTACATTGTTACCTAAATAATTGACGACGATAACATCAAGTCGGTTGTCGTTGTTAACATCTCCAACAGCGATAGATTGTGGATTAGAAACATTTTTAGTTCGATAGGTTTGTTGACTGGTAAACGTACTATTATCATATCCACTCAGAATGACCACATTACCAATACCCGAATTTGGGACAATAATATCGGATTGACCATCATTATTTAAATCACTAACGACGACCGAGAATGGGTACGAACCATTTCCAAGCGAATAAATTTTTTGTGTAGAAAAATTTCCTTTACCATAGCCAAAAAAAATGCCGACACTGCCACCAATATAGTTGACAAAAACAATATCCAGATGACCATCTTTATCGATATCAGCGATAGTAACATCTCTTGGTGCAGAATTATCGCCTGTTGGCAAAGTACTTTGCAGTGAAAAACTGCCGTTACCATAACCATATAAAATACGTATATTGTTAGCACCACGATCAGCGACAACAAGATCAACTAGATTATCTCCGTTTAATTCGGCAAAAGTGAACAGTGTTGGGCTAGAGTTATTCCCAGTCGAAAAGGTTGTTGGGCTTGAGAATGCTCCATTGCCATAACCAAGAAAAACAGTGATACTACTTGTACTACGTGTAGTAACAACAATGTCTTGTTGTTTATCATTATTAATATCACCAATGACTACTGAATATGGTCCCGAGTTACTGCCAGTTGAATACGTTGTTTGTGTGGAGAAAGTTCCATCACCATACCCAAAAAATATACCTATATTACTACCGAAATAGTTAGTAACAACAATATCTGTCCAGTTGTCGTTATTCAAATCATCAGTGACGATTTTATATGGCCCAGAGTTACTTCCAGTTGAATAAGATGTTGGAGATGAGAAAGTTCCATTGCCATTAGCAAGAAATATAATTATAGTATTACCCAAATTGTTAGCAACAACAATATCTCGTCGCTTATCGTTGTTAAAGTCACCACTTGTAGCGTAAAACGGCCCAGAACCCGATCCAGTTGAATAAGATATTTGATTTTTAAAGGTATCATTACCATAGTTAATAAATATATCTATACTATTAGCATAAAAATTGGTAACGACCATATCTAATAAACTGTCATTATTAAAGTCTGCAACCGTGACTGATGCCGGAAAACTGCTAGAACCAGTTGTTTGATAGGTAGTTTGCTTCAAGAAAGTATATTTTTTGTTGGTAATAATCATAATGACATAGTTATAATCGAAGTTAACGACGACAATATCTAATCGAGTATCATTATTGAAATAACCGGTAGCAATAAAATACGGATTAAAATCAGAAGCAGTAAAAAATGACATTTGTTCTGCAAAAATTCCGGTTCCATATCCGAAAAATACTCCAATACTGACGGTGCCATAATTGGCGGCAGCTATATCCAATATATTATCATTATCAAAGTCACCGATGACTATTGAAAGAGGAGAAGAATTATTACCAGTTGAATATTTTTTTGCTATAGTAAAAGTACCGTTCCCAAGACCCAAAACAATGGCAATATTATTCGTACCAGAACAGACGACGACGATATCCATATGATTATCAGTATTTAAGTCATTGATGGCAATTGAAGATGGATGAGAGTTAATACCAGTCTTAAAAGTGACTTGTGTAGCGAATGTACCATTCCCATAATTGAGTAAAACACCTACATTGTTGGTACCATAATTAGCAACAGCGATATCAAGCTTGCCATCATTATTGAGATCAGCAATCGCAATTGAGTATGGTATAGAATCAAAACCAGTAGAAAAAGTGATCTGATTGGCAAAATTTCCCTTTCCATCTCCTAAAAGAATACCAATATTATTCGTACCATGATTAACTACAGCTATATCAGGTTGTGTATCATTGTTGAAATCAGCTATCATAACCCATCGTGGACGAGAAGATCCAGTTGAAAAAGTTGTTTGAGAACCAAAAGTACCATTAAGTCTTCCAAGAAAGACACCAATATTATTAGTACCAAAATTTGCTACGATTATATCCTGTCGTTGATCATTATTGATATCAGCAATAGCCACTGAGTATGGCATAGAATAATCACCAGTTGAGAATGTTATTTGATCTGCAAATGTATCATTAGCTTGTCGAAGAAATACTCCAATTTTGTTGATCCCAGAATTTGGTACGACTATATCAAGAAGACCATCGTTATTAAGATCAGCTACGGCAACCGAATACGGATGAGAATCAGCACTGATCGAACTCTTAGCGTCTGATGTTAGGATAAATGTGCACACTTTACCTAAATAATATAAGATATATAGATGATATATAATAAAATAAAACCTAGATAGCTATATATCTTTAATATAAACTGATTCATTTTCTCTTTGCATTATTCAATTTTGTTACTTGGATTTCCGTCCAGTTTTTTGGTTGACTCAGCTAATTTTTTAATATGAACAGAAATCTGTTGTACGCCAGAAAAAATACGTATTTTTCTTTTTGTACACTTGATCGAACATCCTGAAATATTCAACTTAAAAAGAACTAATTTTAACTGAATTTTATCTCAACTGAAAATAGAATTCTGAAATACACTTTATATTATAATTTCAATGTATCCTTTTAATTCGACGTTGAATTTCTTCATTATTAATTATATCACATAAAAATGACAAACTTGGTGGTTTTGCTGAAGTGTAATAAACTATTAGAATAGCGTTCATCATTGATAAACTTGCGAATAAAGCAAATATAATCACTACTTTAGTTGAACGTGACAAATACGGTAGACAAGTTGTTCTAATGATGAAAGATATAAATTATTATTGAAATAATATGAACAAGACGTACCTAGGTGTTTGAGTCAATATAAAATCATAAGTGTCAGTAGTTGTCGGATCTTGTTGTGGCGTAATTGGCTTTGATCTACTGTCAGAATCGATGATAACAGAAGGCCCTTCATGATTTGAGAATTCTGATGGTAAGACTTCAATATCCATAGAAGTTATTTGTTATCTACAATAGAAACAGTAAATAAAACATCTATTTATCTTTTAATGATATCAAACAGAATTGATTTAACTTTTCCAATGATGTAATTATCAGATGGAGTGACTGAAGATTGTCAACAATTCAAAAAATAGATGAATCTGATAATATATGGCTTTAACCGTCGAAAAATCGCTTGATCAAGAATGAAAAAGGATATTTCAGTTCCACGCGTCCACTCTATTCCATTGATCTCCCTTACTCATCTATATACAATATAAAAAATAAAGTTGTTTAAATACCTATCGAATATTACATACAATATTTAAATGTCGATATTTGATTTTCGTTACTAACTGAATACGTTGTTTTTTGGTGACCAACAATATATTCATACGAAAATTATCGCTTCACTGATTCAATATTGCATCCCACGTAGCTTATTGAGCAAAAAAATAGAAAATTTTGCGACAAAATTGTTTTTCACTCAAAACTAAAGGTAATATCTAATGACGTCAATAAATGGACGTAGATTCAAGTATAATTATAAATATAATTGCAATTCAAAGATATACTTATGTTCTCTCTTTCTCTCGATCTACCATAGCACAGAGATTTTTTAAATGATGCTGGATTATTAAAATAGCGTTGTTATTAATCTATATTAAAAAGATATTAAATATTTATAAAATTTTCTCATAATAAAATCTACAATATGCATTTTAACGATATCCTCTTCACCTTTTTTTTGTTTGTCTCTTGTCATTTATTTTGATGATTTCATAGAGATAAAGAAAGAAAGCTTCGCTCACTGATTTATATTCATTCATGAGTTACTTTTTTTTGTTTTCTCACTAATTCATGTCACCTGTAGAGCAGACCATTTGATGATACGCTTTCGGTCGTTATTTTGTATCATTACAAGGATTCTCTCCAATAGATAATATGCATCGGTGACAGAACGAACAATATATAACGAGTGAGTAAGTGACAAGCAGTTTTTCATCTCTAATTACGTAATTATTGATCATTTATTTTCAGATTTCGTTCTCTGTATTTCTGTCTCTTTTTTTCATTACTTTCTATAATTCGATACTGCGCATATTGTATATTGACCTTGAAAAAGCCAAATACAAAATATATGTACTTGATATAAAAAAACTTACATTTTTATTATAATATAACAATATAATTAGGTGCTGGCTCTGAGAATAAATGTAGTTGGGTACAATTATTTAACGATAATCTTAGAAAGTAAATATTATTGATTGATACTTGTATCTTCTCATTTGAAAACAACTGTAGAGGTATAAACGATGATAAGAATTATAGACGATCACTCACTCATAAATTGATTTTCAATCATTTTTGTTGCCTCACTGATACAGCATAATTTAATGAAAATTTCAGATCAACAAAAATAATTTGAAAAAGACCATTTTTCTTTGAGATTAATTATTATAAAGTAAAAAAACTATTGTGTATCATGATAACGTTCAACTAAATGACAAAGATATACTCGTCATAGATTAGAAAGGGTACTAATTACATCACTTCTCGAACAATAACAATAATTAAATACTACCAACAATGTATTATTTCTTCTTCGATGAATTATTTGTATTGATTGTCTTAGAAATTGATAGTTCATACTTAATCTTCTTTCTGTTTCTCCATTGTTATACATTTGAGCGTAATTCTTAATATTTATGTTGATTATTCGCCGTGGAATTAATACACTTTGAGACAATGATTAAAAATTAGATAAATAATTAAATTAATGAACATATTTAAATTCAGTTACATTATAGATGTGGGTGGCTGAATACCAATGCAATTCTTCTCTAATCACCAAACACACATTCACACCTCCAAGATGAAAATATTTCGGTTGTTTCTGTATAAAAACTAAGTTAACGGAAACTTCTGATGAATTAATTTTAAACCAAAGTGCTGATATATTCTGTGAGTAAGAGAATAACTTAAACGTTTGTTATTTTTGTTCTTAAAAACATTTATTTTTAATTATTCTTTTTCTTTTATCGATTATTCAAATTAATTTCATAAGTTTTTATACTATTGTATTGTACTTTAATATAGTTAATCAATAATTATGAGATAATATTATTTACGAATTATTTTAAATAAAATATCTTTAGGAATTCTAATTATTTAAATGTAGATAAAAGGCTATTTGTGTAAATACTAATAATATAATGAAGCTACCTTTCGTGCCTAGTATTCTATTTATTAATCGATCTCTTGTTTTTAAAATAAATCAAACTTACTTATATGTCCTGGATCATTTACTGTCATTACGATTTCGATTTTTATAACAAATATTTCTTTTTTTTTATTGCGTCAGATTTATTTTTGTATTAGTCATGTGAATAAATATCCTTGACGAAGAGAAGAAACACGAAATATCAATGAGTTTGATTTTGTTGAAAAGAAAAAACTTTTAATAAACGATAAATAAATCTTAAGGATGTGGTTTTTATTGTTGGAATTAAATGACTTGATGTTAAACTAATTTCATGATTTGATTAAGTTTTTAATTTATAATATAAGTCTTTAAAAAAAATTAAAAAGATTTTTTTTATTAAAATTACTTGTTTCGTTTATTGATTGAATTTCATATGATTTTTCATTAATTGATCATCTATTGAAAGATTTGATATGAATTAATTTGTACCATTAGATAATTTTACTGATGTTTTTCAAAATTTGATTATATAATGTATCACAATTCATTTATTTTAATTCAATAATAAATTTTTCGAGCTCTTCATCATACAAAAATTTTAATCTTTTTCCATTAAGTTTTTCATGTTATTTCTGATGCAGGAGTATAAATAAATCAACTTAAATCGATTAACATAATCAGATAATTCTGATGTGAATTCAACGAGATATTTCAATCTTTTAAATCGAAGGAGTTTCTGCATACATCTCATTTTGAAAACCATCTTGAGGGTGTGGATGTGGATATAGACATTTATCTTTATTTAGCCACACCCATCCACACCCTAATTATTGTCAGTTTCGTTTGGAAGCGAATAAGTGCCTTTACTTTCAATTATCGTAAAAAAAGTTGGTAGGCTCTTAATCATGTTTGATGTAAGTGAGTGTGATTCTAGAAGGAATATAAGACTTACATCAACATCCATTTACCATTCAAACCAAAACCTCGTTCTCATTCCTTTCGTCTAAACGTGAAGGCTCATATTTATTTCTTATATATGTCAGCAAAAATATAAAATAAAGTATATCATAGATCCAATCTAACTACTAGCCAATGAACTATATATTGTTTTACAGTAACAAAACTCTTAATGATCAGTACTTGAATACAAATGTACTTATAATTATTCAGCGTCTATTAGATATAGCATTCATCTCACAATCATATTCTCATTCTAAACTTCTTGAGATAGTCGTTAGACATCACTGGTTGTAATGAATAAACCACAATTGTATCTCTTTATAGATCGTATAAATAAATCACAATGAAATTATTGATTTTGGTTTCATCGATATTTATAGAAAAGAAGAAAAGAAAAAAACGAAAATAAATAACTTTAAGACGTTATAAAAAAAAACAAAAAGATTGTCATAATGGCATCTACAGATTTTCTGAATCTGGTTCTCTTACATTTTGCTTGATAGTGTTGAGTCTTCAATATCAAAAAAGTCAACAACTCTTTTTATAAAAGAATCATTACAATGTGTTTTTAGTTTTAAAACTTCCGATGCCAGGAAAGACTATTACCATTTGGATGGAGTGATGTTTTTTTATTAATATGAAGATAAAATAATTTAACAGGTACAACTAATCTGCGGAGCAAATCTGTATACTTTGTTTCCTACTGTTGCAACGAACAATTCATAATTGTCGAGTAACAGGATATAATATGGTTGCGGTACTTTATTAAACGTTCCAAGTAGCGCACCTGTTATTGGATCGTATATGTAAATATAAGAATATTGATCAGCTGCCCATACACGTCCACAAGAATCGACTGTAACACTAGAAATAAGAGTTGGTTGAGTGCCTTGAGTTACGAATGTTCCAACTACCCAATTTAATCCATTTGCTGTCGCCTTCAATGTATAAATTGGTTTGTTCGCATTATAAAGTGTAAAATAAAAGAATGTATCATTCACTTTATAAATAGTATAAGCACCATATGCTGGTGTTTGAATATTACTATTTAACAATGTATAGTTAGAAGGTGAATTGATTTGATATAATAGAATTAGAGAATAACTAAACGAAAATTGTGTTATAACAAACATTTGAGTATTGTTACGCAGAAAACGACATTCTCGAATTGGACCGAAGTAACTCGAATCACCAGTAAGCTTATATATTAAACTCATATCAGTGGCATTATAAATAAGCAGTGCATTTTGACTACTAGGATAGCCAGCACCACCAGTACCTATGTAGTAAAGACCGTTATTGTAACTAATTGCACCAACTAAAGTGTTATTCAAACTGATCTGATTCGTAATAGAAAGATTGTAGCGGTTCATTTGAATGATACGCCCGTAATCTTCGTTAGTGACAAGTCGATCATAGTTGTCAATAACAATATTTTCTGGGGCGCTTATGTTAACTGATGTATACTGGTCTGCAGCATTAGCAACTGAAACAGAAGAGAACAAAAAGTAAATACAAAACTTTATCGGAATTTTGTTTTGAAAAAGAAATAGTCTGATGCAATTCGATCTCAAATGAAAATTATTTCAGTATTAAACAAAACTTTATATACTCAGAAATGTTATATTCAAAAACAGTGCAGAATTTAGTGTAAATCTAGAATTAATATTAATCGAATTTGATTAGGCCTGTATTCTAAAAATTAACATACTCGTATCGAGTAGCCATGTCACATTGGTACAGGATGGATTAGAAGGCAGTGGTTGAATAAGTAAAAGTGTTGACGTAGGCTGGACTTGAACTTCAAATGTTGGCTCGTAACTTGTAAAAAACTGGCATGTCCCACTGTTAGAGAAATAATTAATTGCTACCACGTTCGATGTTTCCGAGAGTACCTGACATAGACAATCATCCATAGAACTACTTATGAATGTAGTAACATTTGAGTTATCAGTTACTAACATTCCGTATTGGATTTGACCGATTTGTAGCGACAGAACCAGACGTAATAAGAGAATAGTATAAAATATTGCCAAAATATTCATCATATTGATTGGAGAGCAAATAGTAATGCAAGTATAAACAGAGATGTAGAAAGAAGGTTATATATATAGTTATCTTGAAGAATCTATTAACTACTTATTAAAGATCTGAATTGAGAGAAGAAAAAAATAAACTTCTTGTTCAGAATAAAAATAGAATATTTGCAAACACCTACACATGTAAGTTTATGTCCTTAAATAGTATGAAAGAAAAAATAGATCACGTGTAATATTTAATGTGCTTTATTATTTGAGAGCATTCTCATAAGGAAGATTGAGGAAAATAATTTCCGTGAAAAAATTTGAATATCTGATAAGAAAGAGTAGGAGTTGATAACTTTCCATAAATTAAAACGTACTTTTTTCTACTATGATAATACAATGGAATATAAAAAAAATAATTTATATAATATATTTTTACACTGTATAAACCACTCTATTTTTATTTTAAGCGTTTCTATTGTTATCTTCATAGTACTCTTAATATTTCACAGACACACAGTAGATATTTGAGAAGAAGTAAAGTGGAAGAAAGCTTGTACTTTGTGTGTCTGCTTCTATTCAGTTCCTCTCTTTCTTCACCTGTGAATACATTATCTTCCAAAACAAACTGAGATAAATATTTATAATAAAAGGCAGTTGAATTTGTATCATTTCAGTCTGTCGAGAGCGATATAGGAGGTGACAAAATGATAATGGATGAATATATTAGTCATATCCATACTTACATGTCAGTAGACTTTAAATTTTACAATACGTTTATTTATATAATTATTATTATTCGTTATATTTTATTCACTCAAATCACTATTCTCACTTCTTTCAGACATGCTGCAAAGCTAAACAATTTTTATATAGCGAGTTTAGGTATTTCAGTTCGATCGTGAACCAGATACCTCATTTCATCATAGAAGGAATGACAAATATTGAATGAACTCGCATAGAAAAAACATAACATTTCAAAAGAAAATTGATTTTTTTTTCACTGAATATCTATGTTTGACACACATATAGGGTCCATCTGGTCTAATTCCCTTGTCCTCTTCTATTTCTTTTTATTTTATTCTCTTCCTACGAAGTTAAATCTATCTATCTAACGTTATCAAAAGTAATTTACTATTGATAAGTTTACATAATTCTCAATGTTAACAAATCAATTTCTTTGAATTTACCAACAGATGATAAAACAAAACTAATCATCATTAGATTTCTGAACCGTTAAAAAATCTTCACTTGATATGACTAATGATGGAGATATACAAT